GGACATGCCCGAGTTAACAAGTAGCGTTTACGGACGGGGACTTTATTTGGAAACATACTCCCAAGCACATCAATTTAGCATTTATTCCATAGTGCAAAACCAGTTAACAAATCAGAACATAGTAAACCCGACTAAGCAGTTCCTTAGTCTAGAGGTTTCAAACAGTGCTTGACTAAGCCGTTTCTTAGCCCAAAGGTTTCAATGAAAACCATGCATAGTTTGTTTATTCTCATGCCTTTCCCCCAAACAAATAGTTAAAGCATTAAAAGTGGGGCCGTGAGGACTCACTGGTTTAAAGGTGAATATCCAAGATGATGACGTCTGCAGCTTTCAACGCCCGCCCTATCTTCCTAAACAGGCCAACAACCAGAACTAAAATCACTTATGGGTTCATGACAATGATAAAGTTAAGTTGCATCCGATGCAATGCCATCGAGTTTTCTAAAAATAAAGTTGATGTTTATAATTTATTCTAAAAATAACTCAAAAATTATATATTAAAAGGAATCGAAATCCTAAACTCAAAAGATGATTTTTGGACGGATTATAAATTTTGTTCCAAGTATTTTTGGGGTTCACAAGACTCTAAAAAAAATTAGGAACCTTCCAAAAGTCATTTTTATCCAACTTGTCACATCATTTAAAATCATGAGGTCAGCCGACTAACCCAAATATCAAGAAGGATTAGAGAGGTTTAAATTCCTCATCATTACACTACAATCATTGAGTTACACAGCCCCCGAAACAGATTGCACGTTCACCGAGCGACAATTATTTGGGGTCAAACTTATCATTTTCCAAAGGAAATCACCATTTCCAAAATAGCAAAAATAAATTTAAATTTMCAGGGATGAATCTTTCCCGACTCCATCGAGTTTTCGAAGAAGGTAAGGTAAATTAAAGATGCATGCAAGATTTTTCACTTTAAAACACAACTTCGCGGTTTAAAACTTCACATGCAATGAGTTTTTCCCTCCCTACTTTGGAGTTTTAAACACATGGATCATAGATTATTATCTTCTTGGAAGACGTTTTCATGTCTTGGATGAATAATCTCCCCTCTATATAATTT